ATACATTCAGTCCAGCCCCTGGGAATTTTCCACCAGTTCGAGGAAGTTTACTCAGTTTGGTGTAACTAAAGCTGACGGTGCTGCACAATCCAAGAGAAAAGCAACTAGGAATGAAAAACGTCTTTGTCTTTCTCTTTACACCAACCTGTTGTGGTTAGCCGGCAGCAGGTGCGGACTTCTGAGGCCTTGGAGAGCAAGGACTCAGATGAGGGGCCTGCGTGTGAGGCAGGGATGGGGCCAGTGGATGGAATGCTGCCTTGGGAGATTGTGGAGGCTGGCAGCAATGATGAAGAGGTCCCCGAGGAGCCTGTGCCCAGTGCGCGTGTGCGCAGGGCTGCTCGAAGGAAAGAGAAGCTACAGCAGCATGGGCGACTCGGGAGTAAGGCTGCAAGGTAATGGCTCCTCCCTCAAGAGATAAAAGCCAGCTGAGAAACCGGAGTTCTTTGCAGGAAGTTTTTGCACCGCCTTGTGGACGTTCGGAAGATCTTGGTTGGTGTTTGGAGGCTCTTTGTGTTTGAAATATTTCTTAGTAACTTTATCTAGTGTTCTTGGCAGCCTTGCACCACCTTGGCAAGGTTCGTTCTTATCACAGATAATTAATTTGAAACAGCCTTTTAACTGTGAAGGAACGGAATTTGTAAAGAATCATTAAAAGTTTTTGCTGTTACCTCTGTTTCGTGTTTGTTTCCTTGGAACAAGGATTGGGTCAAAACACAACCCTATTCCACTAACCATCCTCATTTTTGCTTGGTTTTGTATTAGCAATTACCAACCAGGACCAATTTTGCAACAGCTTTAAGCCATGCCAACTTGGAAATATGGTAGTTACTATAATTAGCTGTTGACCAAGCATCAGACTGTGGAGTATGGGTGACAACTGTCAATGACGCAGGACATATAGAAATGTACGGGTGTTCGGGGTCAGCTGTGGCACTTTTCTGGAACTTGGTGAATGAAGAAAACCTAGTCAAATATATATTTCCACAGTAAAATGATTTTATAATTAATGTGTAAGGACAATCAGATCTTTTCTGATGGAACCCTCAGACCTTCAGTGTCTATAAGATCTCCACTGTTTTGACAGCAATGGATATTCGAGACTCAAATGAGGGTGAAGTGATACTTGTTACTATTCCTGTTTTGCTTGTTTTTTAACCATTGTAAAAAGCCATTTTCCTTCAGCTAGTGGTCATCAAAGAAATTACTATATTTTAGATCAGCTCCAGATATTGGGCTGAATTTTCATGGTGATTGTTGTGATAAATTGGGAAGATTTTGGTCTGCACAGACTTTTAGTCTCAGGGTGTCTTTATGACACATTCAGATCACTTTCTTTTCCCAACAGCGAAGGTCCTTTACTGAAGAAGTGATTATCAGCTTATGACCACAACTGAGTCCCAAATTCTGTTGTTAAGCGAGACATTTATTAAGTGAATTTTGCCCCATTTTAGGAACTTGCTTACCACAGGTGTTAAGTGAGTCACTGCAGTTGTTAGGTTAGAAAGAAGGTCGTTAAGTGACTTTCCTTGTCAGAAGGTCACAAAAGGGGATCACATGACCCCAGCATATTGTGGCCATCATAAATATAAACCAGTTGCCAAGCATCTGAATTTGGATCAGGTGACCATGGAGATGCTGCAGTAGTCGTGTGAAAAACGGTCATAATTCATTTTTTTACAGTGCCACTGTAACTTTGAACAGTCACTAAATGAGCTCTTGTAAGTCAAGGACCAGCTATATTGTATCACCTTGGGTGGAACAAAACAAAGGCATCTCAGGTGGGATCCTTTTCATGGTTAGAGGAGCCTCTCTTCTATAGCCGTGATGCAGTGGTGGGATTCAATTTTTTTTACTACTGGTTCTGTGGGCGTGGCTTGGTGAGCATGGCATGGCTTGGTGGGTGTGGCTTGGTGGGCTTGGCAGGGGAAGGATACTGTAAAATCCCATTTCCACCCCACTATTGGGGGAAAGTTACTACCGGTTCTCCGAACTACTCAAAATTTCCGCTACCGGTTCTCCAGAACTCGTCAGAACCTGCTGAATACCACCTCTGCCATGATGGCGAACCTATGGCACATGTGCTGGAAGTGGCACACAGAGCCACTTCTGCCGGCACGCAAGAGGTTTCCCAGAGGAGCCCCACTGCACATGCCACGTGCCTCAGCCAGCCAGCTGATTGTCAGGTATCTGCCGCGCATGCACAGGGGGAGACACATGTGTGTAAGATGTACAGGCATGCACAGAGGCATGTGGCAGGGGGGGGTTGCATGCGCATGCACAGAGGTATGCTGTGGGGGGGTCACGTGCACATGCGCAGAAGCCTGCAGTGCACGTACAGGGGGTCGAGCGCACAAGAGGGGGAAGGGGGAAGTTGCGCAAGCATTGCATCATGGGTGCAGGCAGGTGAGTGTACGCACTTTTGGCACGCAATGTGGAAAAGGTTAGCCATCACTGTTCTATACTGTGAAAGATCAGCTTGGGGCATTACAGCTTTGAATTGCTTGAACAATCAGATTCCAATTGCATCTGCTATCCAAATAGAAGGACATGGTGGAATAAATACTAATATTAGGTTGTTATATACTGAAGACTAGGTTTGGAGAAAAATATTAATTCATCCATTCAGAGCCTAAAGACAATACTAGTTCAACATTCCAAACTTTACAGCTACAACTACTGCAGGATGTTCTATGGATTAGCCTTCCTACCAAGAGAGGAAAAATAACCTTTTCAATTAACTTCAAATTCAATTTATATTTGATTTCTCTGTAGATCAGTTTTGCTAATCCATGATTTTTTTTTCACCATAAAAACCTGTACTTTTATGTTTTGAAGCTCACATTTAATTGAGGGAGTAATGTCAGACCTCAAAGCTACTGCTTCTATGTATATATCACAGTTCTTGATGCTGTGTATTTGCAATATATATGAAGAGAAAAATCAAGCTCACAGCAAGCAAAATAACTGTTTATTGACAAATTACATTTTAATTTACTTCTCATTGTATAGTTACATATTATGAAAATATGAGGTTTCCTTTTATGTTTTGCTTTTATGTTTTACTGGAAGTAAAGGATAAAAAGATTACAAAGTAATCATACATATTATTTCGCTTTGTTACAGATAGACTAAATTATCCATTTTAAGTTTCTACAGAAAATACCAAACAAACAAAAAACCTAAAACAAAATAAAAAACCTTATGCAGTTCATTTCACCTTTGAAAATCAGCCATGACTGAGAAGCAAAACTCTAGTACAAATTTTCTTGATTTATCACATTCACACAACTGTAAACTCTGCAGATGTTTACCCCATCATATGCTGGAGAACAATTGTTTCATCATGAAGTTGAATTAAGTTGCATTCTTCCATAGTATAATATTCACTCATTGATTTGGTGTCACCTTATGGGAGAAATTTTTTATTAGCTACCCTTAGCTACACCCATGTAGTTAACTTTGTGAATGAGACACCTCTCTCTCTCCTTCACGGTACCTCCAAATCTTTAAATTGAGAACCCAACTTTAAAACTAGAGGGTTGCAGCCCAAAATATCACTCTAGGTCAGGGATGTCAAACTCACAGCGTCACGTTGTCATCACATGATATATCACGACTTTCCCCTTCTTCACTAAAATGGGGGTGGGCGTGGCCAGCGCATGATGCATCCGGCCCACAGCCCATGAGTTTGACATCCCTTTTCTAGGAGATCCTGATTGTATCTCTTTTAGATTTTAATGAAGAATTATATAAAAAAATTTGTAGATGTTAAACACAGAGTATCCATATAATTCATGTTGGCAACATGATACAAAATTCTTTGGAAGACCAATTATAGTACAGTATAAAATGATATATTACAGACTGCATAATTATTGTATAGTATATAATAATTTATGCTATACTTTTCCAAGGTTCTTTTTTGCTCTAATAACTCAGGGTATATCTTCCAATTTCTCTTCTTGATGTATCTCTTGGATAATTAAAGTGCAGCTCTCATTTTCTACAGACAGAAAAAGGAAGCTGAATTTTCTAATATACGGCTCACCAATAGTCGCTGCCATCAGGTCTTAATGCATTTCCAGGCTCACAACAAATCCTTCATAGAATGTGTTTTGAATAACAGGGCTGAGGTTCGAGAAAGCATGAAGTCATTTTTAAAAATATCACCGCTAGGCAATTCAGCTTGTCCCCATCCTCTTGGACTAAACAGGAAGCTTTCAGGGCAGATGGCGAGGCTCACAGGCAGGTTCAAGTCCTGACAATTTCATTTTTAGAAACTGAATGCTGATGATCCCTTTCGGTACGTAGGGGGTATTGAAACCATGTTCATACATTCATACACAAGATATATACAGTACATGCCACACTAGCTCATCGTTGCTATTGCATGAATATGAAAATATCACTAATCCCTACCCAACCCACTTCCAAATGCTGGGAGTCATTTGAAAGTTATCTAATTCCCATCAGACTGGTACCAAAAGTACTCTCTGTTGTGATCTGTCAAGAATCATACTTCCCTACTGATTTCTACTTGGTGGCTTTTTCTTCAACTACACTCCCCAGACTTGAGAAGCATGAAGTGGTTGCAGAATAGAGAGAAATCTCTATAGGTAGTAGCAACGGAGGGGAACAAAAGCATACAGTAGAAAATATGGGACCAATTGTTATAAACTGCAGAGGTAAATCTGTATCTGATAAATCACTCTCAAAAGTGGGTTCACGTGACAAAATGCTTCACTATCCAATATGCATATCCAGCAAATGCTATTTATACAAAAGTCAAAAATTCTTTATTACCGGTCAGCGATCCAGGCTAAATAAAGCTAATTGAATAAAACCTACAAAACATTAGAGGGTTGCAAATGATGAAACTCACACAGCAGAAGCAGGCAGGCGAGCAAGTATGATTTGTTTCTTCATGACAAAATAGAGGGCTGTAAGCCACCCACTGCAATTGAAGGGCAACCTTTTTTAAAAAAAATAAAGAAGTACAATAAAACCCCATAAAGTCCCGTATCTTGCCACATTTATAGCTGTGAGAGCTTCATTTGCCAGAAGGTTCCACACCTTCCTACACACTACAATACTGGAGCTTCCCTGTGGCCACACAGTATGTGTCCAGTGAGGGGACTGACTACAGATTGACTTTTAAATTCTTATTCATCAGAAATTCTGTTTAGTAGGCAGCATTAGCCCATACCCCATTATTGTCCCCTCCTGATACCTGAGATAACCTTAATTATCTGAAAAAGCCATTGGCCATCAGTGTATTATGTACAATGTACATAATCACGAGGAGAATTTCCTTACCATGTATAATCTTTACTTCATAAATCACAACCACTTATAGGGTTCCTCTGCTTTCAGTTTTGCCTCTTTGGAAGAGGCAGTGTGGTGAGTTTGAAAACCTGAGTCTGCTTGTGGCCCTTTGCCTCATGGTTAACGTTAGCTGCTTTATTGATGAAAAAACACACAATATGAAAAGAAGACAATAGTCAGAAAACTTTATAAAGAAAACACTTGAGGGGCTCTTCCTGTGCTTCCAAAGGCAAAAGGAACTTGAACTGAAGTTACCTCTTGGAATGTTTTTTTGGTTTGATTTTGACCTCTCAAGCAATATCGATCTTGACCTTGTACCGCTCAGGGTGTGGCGGTCCTCATTTCTCCCAGCAAATGGCCTTTCTCTTGATTTGATTTAGTCTTGTGTTGGGGATAGGTCACTTTTATTTTTCTCTGAAACAAAATGGAAGTGTCAGATAGCACGGGAACAAGGTCTTCCTCATTTATTATACTAATGTGGTCTAAGTCCAGTTACCTATTACTCTGATGAAAGCTGAGCAGTGAGCCTCCCCTAATTCATTAGTGGCAAGACAGATATATTTTCCAGTATCAGCAACAACTGCATTTCTTTTTACAAGGTAGTAGATGTCCCCTAATTTCTCAATCTGAAAAAAATAATAATGAAATATGAACAGAGATTAGTGCTGAAATGAAAGTCATAGGCCACTGTCCCCAAAGGAAACATTTAAACATACACTTATTTCTCTTGCTGCCATTCTGATGCCATCTTTTGTCCAAATGACATTTGGCCTTGGCTCTCCGTGTATTGTACAGTGTAAATCTAAATCATCACCTTCTTGCAGAATGAGGTGTCCAAATTTGTTTATGAAGTTGGGCTGTTTTCCTTGTACTGACGAAGGAAGAGAGACACAAAGAAAGCAAATATATTGTGCTTAAAATAACAACATTCAGCTAAGAAATTGTTAGACACCACAGAGAAGCGATTTATAGGAAACTGAATCACATGCAACAGATGTGGGGTTAAACAGGATTGCAACGTGAATATGACCGTGCAGCAGAATGGGACTGTTAAAACTAAGGGTGCACCAATTAAAAAAATAGTTTTTAAGTTACAGAAAGTAATAGTTCCATTCTATCCTGCATTGGCCAAACCTTTTTTCAAGTACTGTATAAAGTTCTGGAAAGTATTAGCGCCATTGGAACAGGTGTGGAGAACCATAACAAAAATGATCAAAGGATTGGAAAGTGAGGTCATGTTCCGAGGCTGAAACAGATCTCTGAGCACAGAGGACTAAGCTGTAAATCCCACTGCCGATTTCTCACCCTGCATTTAGATCTATTTCAGTCATAAGGCCTGCCTGAGGCAAGATGGGGAATCTGCTGCCGCTTCCAAGCAGCAATTGGAAGAAATGTATTTTTTGGGAAGAGATTTGCAAGAGACGCTTGATTACCAAGCTTGGATTTGCTGAGAAATCTCTCTTCCCTGGTTGACCAAGAAAGACACTTTCTGACTGAGCACTGGATCTCTGCAGCTGCTTCAGTTACAGTGCGAGATCCCCACACTGCTCTGAGCACTTTAAGCTCCCAAGCATGGAGTTTATATTTCAAATGTAAACTTAGACTTGTGTAATTAAAAAAAAAAAAAGATTGTGTGGAAAGACTCTGAAATACTTACAAATGAAGGAACGGTTAGTGAAGATGTCCAAACTTGCAAAGATGAAAAATTAACGTTTGATTATGGATAAGACAATAAGTATATTTGTTAATAATTGGAAACCCTTTACAGATCTTTTGCTGAAAATTAGGAGTTTGATGATTAGAAAAAGGATAGAATATGGAGGGAAGGGAGCATAATGTAACTTTAGATAGAGAAAATTTACACAATTGCTGTAAAGAAGAAGCTGCTACTCTCTATATTTTTTCTGGGTTTTTTTTCTGTTTCACTTTTTTGTACTTTTTTTCTTCCATTTCTTTCCTATTTACTTATCACTTTTCTTTTACTTTTCTTACTTTCCTTTCTTTTTTTTCTTTAAAATTTGATGCTTTTACTTTGAATTTTTTTTTTTAATAAAAATTAGTTTTAAAAAAGATGATTACAAGGGCACTAGGACTAGGAGGATAACGGAGAGGATGAATCATGTTAAGCCTTGAGAAGAAATCACCAGGAGGATATTATGACCTTTAAAACCTGAAAGAGGAGGAGGGACTTGGTCTGAAAGATCAAGATTTCTTTTCAAGTGCAAAAGCACAGGACATGAAATATAAACAAATAAAATAAAATAATACGTTTGCAATGAAATACATCTTGATCAAATGCTATGGAAAACCACAGTGATAGGACCAAAATTAAAAGCAGTCAAGCAGAGCCTGAATCCTGGTGAGGGTGCTTTAATTTGGGTTCATGCAATAAACAGATGATGCTACATCTTTGGAGTCTTTCATAAGCTGCAGCAAAGATTTTGGAAGTAATAGAAAAGTATGGGATCTGTAGGTATGGTATTCATATCAACATTCTGCCTGAGAAGCTATGCTCACATGCTAGGGATGCTACTGAAACCTCAATTGCTTTCTGATGTTGTTTTGCAGATGAACTAAACCTTTCAGAACTACAGAGCATAAGGTACTTGATCCCACTGGGGAAGCCCAGGTTGTAGTTCTGTCTTATACAGCAAAGCTGATAGTGACTCTAGGCTAGCGTTTCCAAACTTGGCAATTAAGGTATGTAGACTTCGACTCTCTGAATGCTGACTGGGTATTTCTGGGAGTTAAGATCCGCATATCTTAAAATTGCCAAGTTTGAAAAACACTGATGTAAAATTATATTTATCTGGAAATATAAAGAAAAATATTTCCACAAGGAAATGTTCCTGTTTGCACTGTGGCACAAATTATTGGGGTCTCCATACCTGTGCTGAAAAGATCCAGATGAGAGTTAAATAATAGCAAAGGCAAACATAAAGCTTTTCCCTTCAACTAGTCATCATTTGAAATTTGACACATCCAAACTTCAACTAAATTGGCATGAAATAGTTATAGAAAACTTCTTTTATCATCTGGATTTTTGCTGTGGGAGGTCTAAGAAAATAAATAGCAGTGCACAGGTCTTTGGTGTTGTATTATCAGTGATATTAGCATTTCTGAAGAAAGAAGTTCATTAAATATCACTAGGGAGATGACAATAGTGACTACAAACTGCTGCAATTACACAAAGTTGTGTTATAAATAGGAAAAAAAGGAAGCTGGTATAGAATGCTTAACACGTTACTTTTTTCACTTTAGCAATCCCACTTACACAAAAATAAATCAGGTGTGGTTAAGCAATATGGACAGAATCATTGCTTCTTAAGGATAAAACAATTTTTAGTCTTGGATTAAGTGATTATATGAAGATTTGAGAAAATGTAAATCTCCTGACAAATTCCTCTGCAAATAGATACTTTATGAACAAAGGGGAAGGGAAATAACTAGTTCAATTCCCCTGCTAATCTGAAAAATAAAATAAAATAAAATAAAGAACTTTAACCAAATTAAGACTTTCTATCTCCTTCCTGAGGCATCATATCATTATCAACAGTAGTACTGGAGAAAACCAAGAGCCCTTCATTTGTTGATTTATGGCGGTCAGTTTTTCTGTTTTGTTTAGTTCCTTAGTTGTGCATTTATGCTGTATTGGACAGTGGGGAGTACTTTGATAACTGAAGCTAATAATTAAGGGTAAAGAAGAATACTCAGAGATAGGTTGCAGGAACCACAAAGAGATTAAGAGCAAAACTTTGCAAGAAACTTGAAACCATAGAATTGACAGAGGAAAGCTTCTTACATGCTTTAAAAGAAAATGACTGGCATACAATGTTATAAATGCAAAAATATTGTTCAAATTAGATTTTCCCCAGCATAGACTTCTTGAGATAGAGGTTTACATGGGAGAAACAATTTCCTTATAATACTTTATTTTTCTTTTTAATTGGCAGATATGAAATTGCATAGAAACAGACCCTCTTCTTAGTAAAAGACTAACATAAATTATTATAAAATAGGCATTTTGCCATGGAAACAATACAACTGAAGCAGGTGCATTGTTTACATCTCTTTGTAGAGTGAGATATTTTCTTATGATTTCTATTTCAGACTCTATTTACCCATGGGGGCTTTTCACTTAAAATTCACAAACAGCAAACAAGTTTTTGCAGTAAGTCTGTTCACATAAAATCACAAAAGAATCTTGTTAGGCATATGTTAATCCTGGTATAAATCTAACATAGGTTTTTGTACCCCCACCAAAATATTTGCATATGTGAGCATAATCTGTAGAAGTAATCCTATATTCTTCTGAACATTTCTGAGAATACCATGGAGAGCCAAGAAAACAAGCAGATGGATCATCAAATAAATCATCCCAGAGTTTTCACTTGAGGCAAGAATAATGAAAATTCACAGAATATCGGAGTTGGAAGGGACCTTGGAGGTCTTCTAGTCTAACACCCCACAAGCAGGAGACCCTATAACATTTCAGAAAAGTGGTTGTCCAATCTCTTTTAAAACCTCCAGTGATAGAGCACCCATAACTTCTGAAAGCAAGCCATTCCAGTGATGAATTGTTCTAACTGCCAGGATATTTCTTCTTAGTTCTAAGTTGTTTCTCTCCTTGATTAGTTTCCATCCACTGCTTCTTGTCCTGCCTTCTGGTGCTTTGCCAAATAGGTTGGCTCCTTTGTGGCAACCCCTGAGATATTGGAACACTGCCATCATGTCACCCTAGTCCTTCTTTTCATTCAACATTCCTAATTCCTGCAACCGTTCTTCATATGTTTTAGCCTCCAGTCCGTTAATCATCTTTGTTGTTCTTCTCTGCACTCTTTCTAGAATCTCAACATCCTTTTTATATCGTGGCAACCAAAACTGGATATAATATTCCAAGTGTGGTATTGCTGTCTCAAATTATTGTACAGACATATTATGCAAGGACCTAGTTGTCAGGAAAAGGTTCCAATGTTAGAAAAGGGGGAATGAAATAGAAGAAAAGGATGATCAGAAACAAGACAGACAAACTTAGTGCAATGAATGCACCTTTGGAAGACTTGACAGAATAGGTTAGGGATAGATCATCATAGAGAAAGCATGAGTCATTCTGTGTCTGAGATGGGTAGTCTCTAAATTTGATATAACAAACAAACAAACAAACAAACAAACAAACAAATAAATAAATACTTATGTGCTCACTAAGAGTCGACACTGACCACATAATAAATCAATCTTATATTAGTAAGCAATTGAGGCCTACACAGAGACAGACTGAGCCTTCTTTCACTTTAAGTAGAAGTATTGCAAAATGATTTATCTTTGCTTTTAAAAACTGGCATGATAAATATTTCAAGATATGGCAACACTGTCATCAAATGACTGTAGGAAGATGAGTAGTCCTTAATGGGTCTAAGTCTACATGGAGGGAAGTAAGCAGTGGGGTGCCACAAGGTTCCGTCTTAGGCCCAGGACTCTTCAATATCTTCATTAACGACTTAGATGAGGGAATAGAAGGGGAACTTACCAATTTTGCAGATGATACTAAGCTGGCAGGCATAGCTAACACCCAAGAAGATAGGCTCAAGATCCAGATGGATCTTGACAGACTAGAACACTGGGCCATATCTAACAAAATGAAATTCAACGTAGAGAAAAGTAAAGTCCTACACTTAGGCAAGAAAAACCAAAGGTACACATATAGGCTGGGTGAAACCAGGCTCAATAGCAGTAACTGTGAGAGGGATCTTGGAGTCTTAGTGGACAACCAGCTAAATATGAGCCAGCAGTGTGCAGCAGTCACCAAAAAAGCTAATGCAATCCTAAAATGTATTAATAGAGGGATACAATCAAGATCAAG